GCGTTCAGCAACGTTCACCTTTCTGCAACCTTCAGAGACCATGGGCGTTAAGGGAATGAAGACTCTGGTTAAAGAATCAGGCACTTTGGAGGATGTTGGCTTCAAGAACAGCGCCGTCATCATTGACGGTCCAAATCTCTACTATTCTCTGTATTTTAACTCCAAGCCGAAGCTGGACCAGCAACACGGAGGAGATTACTCTGCATTCAGAGGTCTGGTCTGTCAGTTCTTCAGCAGCCTGAAGAGCTGCAACATCAAGCCGCTGGTCCTTCTGGATGGAGGCGCAGAACCCATGAAGAACAAAACTGTTGAAACTCGTCTGAAAGACAAACTTCAGAAAGCAAAGAGACTTTCAGAGTCCAGGGCTGACAAGTGGGACAACATCTTGCCTCCTCTGGTCAAAGACGTCTTCATCCAGGTCCTTCAGGAGCTGCAGGTGGAGATCCAGCAGTGTTTTGGAGAGGCAGACCTGACAGCTGCTCTGAAGGCCAATAAGAAGAAATGCCCCGTTCTGTCCAACGACTCAGATTTTTACATCTTTGATGTGCAGGAAGGGTTCCTTTCAATTGATGGGTTCCAGTGGGAATCTGTGACACAAGGAGCCATTCCTGCTCAGCGCTACAAAATCTCACAGTTTTGTAGATGTTTTAATGTAGACGAGCATCACATGCCCGTCTTTGCTGCTTTATCAGGAAACGATTACTCACAGTTAGAAAAAGAAGACAGCAAAAAGTTAATCGGAAAATATCTTAAAGCTCAGCAGCCAGGAGGATCCTCTACTAGTCGACAGCGAGCCATCCTCAAGTTTTTAGGAGAGTTCAGGGGGAAGACGCCCGAGGAGGCTGTGACAGCAGCTCTGCAGCAGGTTGGCAGATCTAAGCAGGAGGACCTCAAACTTTACCTGAATTCAGCTCAACAATATGCCTTAAAGGAGCCACCTCGTCCCAACCTGCCTCAGTGGGTCATCCAGGAAATTCAGAGAGGAAGACTGACCTCCTTCGTCACATCTGTTGTGACCCAGAAGTCGATGACCTTGACTCCACTGGTGGAGGACTTCTCCCAGCCCAGCAGCTACAGTGCTTCCCTCCGGATCCGACAGTTCTTCTACGGACTGTTGCTTGGAACAGAGCTATGCACAGAATATGACCGGGAGGGCGCTGAAGATATGCGTCCTAAACAGGTCACCCCTGTCCTAGCAGGTGTGACACCAGAGGAGCTGCAGAAACTGGAGCTGGAACATCTGAATGAGGTAAAACTGCTTCCCTCGGATCATGCTTTTCACTGATAAGATGTTGCTCCAGGTTACAATGAAAACCAATCAGTTAAAAGTAGAGGAGAAGCAACATATCACAACATCTCGTAACACCAACAGTAACATGTCAGAGCTTTAGCATGCATAAGGTGTAACGAATTACGGCTGTAATAAGATGTCAAGAGATCTTACACCCATAGCAACATGCTAGGAATAGTTAAGGAAATATATAAGTCTTACCTAAGGTGAATCACTGAGTCAATCAAGAACGAATCAAAATGCATTTTGATTATTATTTTATTAAGAAATTAAGTAAAGAAAATGAGCAGTGACTCCCCTGTCTAGTCCAGGGAAGTGAAGAAAAGATGAAGGTACATCACTTTTACTCCCTCTTACAGAGATGGAGAAAAAGGGAGAATCTCTTCAGTTTCAGTTCATTCACAACTCTGGTATTTGAGCTGCAGACTGAGACCCTGGACGGTTCAAACCCAGGTCAGAAATACCTATTATGTGTTTCCAGCGAGCTGTCTCCAACATGGAGGGTGCTTTGATTTGATTTGCTTTAATTGAAACATGTTAGGGATGCAACACGCAACGCAGGGGCACTGCCAGGACTACCGCAGCTACTGTTACAATTTTTTGAGTCTATTTGACTCATAAAAAGCGTCACAATTTTAAAGGCTTGCATCTGCCTTGCTTTATTTG